TTATCCAATGGACTAGAATATTTTTCTACTCATATTTTTAACTTTACTTTCACTTTTCGGGTAACTTTGTTTACCCGCATTATTATCCCTTAACTGTCATTTTAACTCCTTTTTCACCAAATGTGACTTTATTTCTTTTACTTCTAATTATTCTTCAACATTAAATCCACAACTACTAGTGAGGGCTATTATAAGCAGCAACAGAACTTTCCCTACCAATAGAGACAGTTCGTGCCTCCACAGTAGAGGCAAAATTTCCAACAATTTGCACCTTCACCACCACAAGCGCAACAACAACCCAATAGTGTTCCTTCACTGGAAGATCTAGTGAAGCAACTTGCAACAAGTAATTTGCAGTTCCAGCAGCGTACTGAGTCCATAATTCAGAACTTACAGACTTATATCGAGCAATTGGCTACTTCTTTGAGCCAGACCCAACCTCAGGGGCCCGATTCCCTTCCTTCCCAGACAGTTTCAAATCCAAAGGGAAATCTGAATGTTAGTGCTATATCCCTGAAGTCTAGCAAGCAACTAGAAGAGCCCAAGCAAGCTGCATTGAGACTGAACCAACATTAGAAAAAGAGGAGACAATGAAAGAGAAGCAAGGTCGTGATGAGCCTGAGTTTTCCATTCCACTTCCTTTCCCTCAGAGAGCTATCAAATTCAAGAACCTGGCAGAGACAACACAAGAGAAGGAAATCCTAGAGATATTTAGGAAAGCTGCAGTTAACATTCCTCTCTTTGAAGCAATCAAGAAGATTCCTAAATATGCCAAGTTTCTGAAAGAGTTATGCACCAACAAGAGGCGGCTGAAGGGGGACGAACTAGTAAGCGTGAGCCAAAATATTTCTGCACTCATCCAGCCCATGCCTGAGAAGTTCAATGATTCAGGGACATTTACCATTCCTTGCCTTACTGGAAATTATAAATTTGATGATTGCATGCTAGATTTAGGTGCTGCCATAAATGTTATGCCTAAATCTGTTTATGATTCTCTTGGTTTTGGTCTTTTACACACCACTGGTGTTGTTATCTAGTTAGCTAATAAAAGTAGTGCTCACCCTTCTGGTTTGATTGAGGATATGTTAGTTAAAGTGAATGAATTGATTTTTCTTGCTGATTTTTATATTTTAGACATGGAAGGCGAATCTCCTAACAGTAGGCCCCCAATCATTCTAGGAAGGCCTTTCATGAAAATAGCTAGGACCAAGATAGATGTGCATGTTGGTACTCTTTCCTAGGAATTTAGTGATAATATTGTGCATTTTAGTATCTTTGATGCCATGAAGCATTTTAGGGTCAAGGTTGAGCAGTCAGTTTCGTGCATTAATGTGATTCATGATGTGGATGATAATGTTAAAGCAGATTTGATTGTGGATTTTGTATTGCCTGTGGGTTCTGACTTGCCTACTGAAGTTAATTCTAAATTTTTATTGAATGTTGAACTAGGAAAGGTTAATCATCCTCATAATAATGATGATCATATGCCTGATTTATTTTTGTCTGCATGTAGTCCTAAAAAGAAAATTGATTATATTAGGAAGAACAAGACATCTTGCACACATATTGTATTCAATCATTGTGGTAAGCTAGCACATATTTCTTATTTGTACGATCATGGAAATAACTTTACTATGAGAAACTTTCCTATCAACATTGATCCAACTCTCATGGACCCAAGATGAAATGGGTACCAAAAAGTCCTTCTTTTGTTTCCAATATGCAGAATACTATTAATAAGGTTTGACAAAATGATCAAAAGAAGAGGAAGTTGTGTGATAAGAAAACTGGGAAGACTTCCACAATGGATAGTCATTGCCTCAAGCCCTTCTACAAGGGACCCCAACAACAGTTGTGGAGGCAGATCTCAAGCTCACTAATGCCACTTACCCTCCCTAAGGAGGACAGGGATTCTTTCTTTGCCTTTGCCTTTTCTTTATTTCAATTTATTTTTTTTTGTCTGCAATTTTAATTTTAGTTTTAATTTTCAATAAGTAGATTTTCCTTTTCTTCCTTATAATTGTTGAGTTATACATAGTGTGAACTTGCATATGTTGTTCTTGATGGATCATTCAGATTGAGCAGAGTTCTTGATTGTTAAATACTTGGCTTGGTAGTTGAATTCATGATGCTAATTGCATGAGTTGGTATTAAACTTGTGAGAGTTTGAGCCTTTATGAATGGAATTTATCTTTTTGCCATTCTTTCTTTCTTGTGTGCTTTCCTTCATGATTTTTGTTCTCTAGAACTTGCTCCTTTTCTTTTTCAAACTACATTTTTCACTTGCATGCATAAAAATGATAGAGGCCTTCTTTCTTTTATTTCTCCACTTTGGCCAGATAGCCACCCCTTGCATTATATTCCCTATAGTTAGCCCCTTTGTGCCTTTTTATCTCATTCTTTTCTTAACCACATTACAAGCCTAAGTGTAAAACCATGTAATCTTGCACCTTGGAAATTTATTGAGCATTGGTTTCATCTTAGTTTTGTGTGTTAAGTGTGGGGGTTTCCCGAGGCATGCAACATTTTAAGTGTGGGGGGGAGGTATTTTACGCCACTCATCACTTGGCATTGCATTTGTTGGTCATTGGATTGTGAAAAAGAGAAATAAAAAGAAAAAGAGGGATGAAAACAAAATGATTGAAAAGTAGCACTAAAAAAAATAGAAAAGAAAAGAAAAGCAATAAAAAAAGAAAACAAAAACAAAAACAAAAAGAGAATGTCTAGTTTAGTGACTTTATGTTCTTGGTTAGTTGATGAGTCTCTAAATTACTATGTATTAAGGGTCAATATGAGCATGAAATTAATTAAAAGTAATTAAAAATAATGAGAATTATAATTAAATTATTATTTTATTTTCAAAAATATTCTCATAAGATTTTTTATATTTTGCAGTAAATTTCAACTTAATAAAGAGATAAATTTGAGAGATCAAGTAAAGTTGCTTTGGATTTCTGAATCATTCAAGATCTTATCAAATCTTCGTTTAAATATTTTTAAGGAAAGCTTTCCATTAAATAAAAGGGAAAGATTTGAAGGATTGGATGAAAGATATGATTAGAGATTCTAGTGAAGATTCCATTGAAGATATTATGGAAAATTAAAAGATATGGTTTCATCCCTATAAAAAGGCATCTCTTGGAAACACAAAGACACAATTCGATAGAGGCAAGCACATTCAGAGGAAGGAGGAGAACACCGGAGTTCAGAGTTGGAGATTTCAGAGAGAGAGAGGAGCTTGAAGGAGACTGAGCAACATTGATTCTTCTTCTTCTTTATGATTTCTATTTCTTTCTTTATTTTGTTTAATCCAGCTATGTCTGGCAAGTTTTCTTAGTAGTTAGGAATATGGATCCGACGTGAATCCTTTTTTTGGTTTAATTCTTTTCATTAATAAACTGTCTCAAATTATTTGTGTTTACCTTGATTTGCATGTTTAAATTCTTGTATGATCTGGCCAATTATATAGGGATAAAGAGGGTTATGGTTCATAATAGACATATTGGAATCTTAATCTAGACAGGGGTAGAACATCAATTCTTGTTTGATCTAGACATAGGCTTGTAGGAATTACAAACTTTTGTAATTCATCGCGCTTAAGGATTAATCTAAAAGGAATTTCTAAGACATTAAGATTTCAATTGGGTTAAAGAACTAAAACATTAGGATTTAACCAATTAATTTCTAGATGATGAACTGTTTGAAATAATTGAGATAGAATATTATTGAATTGTAATTAAACCAATTAAGGGGGATCGGAGGAGAAGTAAACCTCACTGCATTTTTATTCATAATTTCAATTTAATCTTTTTAATTAATTTCTTTTACTGTCATCTATATTTAATTTTTAATTAAAAATTGGTTACCTGCGAAATTACTTTTGAATTGTCTAACTTAGATAAAAATGGTGAAAATATTGCTTGAATTTAGTCCTCATGGGAACAATGCTTTTACTTAATCATTTTTTACTTGTACGACTGGTATACTTGCCGTGTTCGCAACAAGTGTTTGGCGCCGTTGTCGGGGACTAAAAATTAATAATAGTAGTATTTGTGGAGTTTAAGATTAGACCTTTATTTTTTATTTTATTTTTTACCCTTACTGATTTTTTTTAAAAAATTCTGGTTTATGTGAGGTACAGTTGATCCAAACGACTTGCTCTACGAACTGGAAATTGAAAAGATAGCAAGGGAGAATAGAAGGCTAACTACGGAGTGAAAAGAAAAAGAAAGAGTGAACCGATCACTCTTCCAAGAAGGAACATAAACTATGGCTGAAGAAATACCACATGAGGATACCATGGAGCAATACCTCAACCCATCATTTGCACATGTCTCTTATGCAATCATCATTCCATAAATCTAGGCTAATAACTTTGAAGTTCATCCGACCTTCTTGCAGCTGTTCCAGAACAATCAATTTTCAGGAGAGGACGACTATGATCCCAATCTTCATGTGTCGGGATTTTTGGAACTATGTCGACTTCACAAGCATAATGGAGTTAGCACTAATGTTATTCGTCTGATACTTTTTCCTTTTACGTTGAAAGGAAGAGCAAAAGAATGGCTGAGGAATGAACCGGAAGGGAGCATCACTTCATGGGACGACTTGATGGTTAAATTTAGAAAAGAGTTCTTTACTCTTTCTAAATTTATGCAGAAGAAGCGAGAGATTGATCATTTCTCTCAACATGATGGTGAATCTTTTAGCGTAGCTTAGAGGAGATTCAAAGGTTTATTGACAGCTTTCCCACAATATGTTCTTCAAGCAGGAGATAAAGTGGGGCTCTTCTACCATGGTATATATGCCCTACTGATAGAAAATTCCTCAATGCGGCTGCTAATGGATCATTAGTTAACAAAGCTCCAGCTGCATCTCTACAACTCATTGAAGAATTAGCTGCGGAAGAGAATGAGGATATACCCAGCTCCAAAAGAAACATTATACAAGTGGATAGACTTGACATCTTGATGAGTGGTCAACATAGTTAGCAGAAGCAGATGAAATCTCTTACAAAGATAGTTGCTAAGAATCAAATCTCTGCCATCAATGTTGAGGAACTAGTAGTATGTGACATATATGCTGATGGACATTTGACTGCGAATTGCCCGTTAGCTCAACCTTCAGAAGTCAACTATATGGGAAACCTGCAAAGGAACAACTACCAAGGTAATAACAACACGGGTTGGAGGAATAACTCAGGTCTCTCTTACAATCCACAACCACAACAACCTGTTTCATCTACCAATGCTTTCATTCAAGAGACAAGATCGAACTTCAAGACTCAAGAGGCATCAATCAAGAATCAGGAGGCTTCAATTCGAAATCTTGAAACTCAAATTGGACAGCTGGCCAAGAAATTGAATGAAAGAACTTTGGGGACAATGTCTAGTGACACTGTAGTTAATGCAAGAGAAACTGTAATGCAATCACCACTCGAAGTGGGAAGGTGATTGAACCTCAAGATAAGCCAGCCAAGGTAGCAAAGGAAGCACCAAAAGAGGAGGAAACAAAAGAGGAAGAGACAAAAGAGGATAGTACTAAGAAAGAAAAGGCTCCTAATTATGACGATGTAACCTACTTTGGAGGAGCAATCAATCGTAGTAAGAAAACTACAAAGAAACTTCCATCAGGATTCAGTCAACCATATCCTTATGCAAAAGCTCTATACCCTCTTCGGCAAAAGCAAGATAAAGAGAAGCAGCAATACTTGAAGTTTATGGAGATGTTTAAAAAGCTGCAAATTAACATTCCATTCTCTGAAGCTCTGGAGAACATGCCTCTTTATGAAAAATTCATGAAGGGTCTCTTGTCAAACATGCATAAGCTCAGAGAGATGGAAACAGTAGCTTTAACTAAAGAGAGTAGTGTTGTGATCAAAAAGGGGTTGCCGTCTAAAGTCAAAGACCCAGGGAGATTTAGTATCCCTTGTACAATCGGGAATGTTAAAGTAGGAAGAGCTCTATGTGATATGGGAGCCAGTGTCAACTTGATGCCTCTTTCTTTTGCACGATCTTTGGGGATAACGGAGATGAAATCTACCTTGATGTCTCTCCAATTTGCTGATATATCCATCAAAAGGCCGGAATGAGTGCTAGAAGATGTCCTTGTAAAGGTAAATGATTATATATTTCCAGCTAATTTTGTTGTGCTTAATATGGAGGAAGATGACTACATGCCTCTCATCTTAGGAATACCATTCTTAGCAACTGCTAGGACACTGATTGATGTGGAGCAAGGACAGATGATCTTTAGAGTTATGGTGGTGAATTCAAAATGAATGTTTTCGAGGCCATGAAGCATCTTGAAGATAAAGAAGATTGCTTTCAGATCGATGTAATAGAATAAGCAGTTTCAGAGAAAATCCTTGAAAAAGCAAATCCTCCCACTATTGAAGATCAGTTTGCAGACATTTTGCACTCCTCAGAGCAACTGAATGATGATCAACTTACTGAGACATATAAAGCCATCGATTCAACTAAAGTTTCAAATGCACGGAAAGAAGAGCTAGTTGAATTGATCAGGAAACCTGAAGGTCAAGTTTACTGCATTGTTGAAAAGAATGTTGAGGAAAGAAACAAGAAGAAAATTCATCAGAAGTATGAGGAACGCAAGCCAAAAGTTAAGATGGAAAAATCCATAAGCAAGGGAAAGCATGTGAAGACTAAATTTAGAGCTCCTGAGGCAACTACTTCTCATTCACCTGCGTAGGAGTTTTATGGAAGAACACAATATTGGATCAAGAAGACTGGTTCATCAATGATAGCGTGCTTCCAACCACCATAAACATGAGGGGTACGTCAGGCTTGTGACGTTAAACAAGCGCTACTTGGGAGACAACCCAATAAGTTTTTCAATTTTTTTTAAAAAGTATATAATTTAATTTAATTTAATTTTTATTTTTATTTTTATTTTATTTTATATTTTTTAATTTGATTAAGAGATGGTGTATTTTAAAATGGTTGTTAAAATTTTAGTTGAGTGGAAAATTTATGAAAAAAGTAAATGAATCTGCGGTTCGTACGCCAATTTGGCGTACGATATGCCACTTGGAAGTGGGTACTGAGTAAGTTCTGTTCTTATCTGTGCTTATTTTGTGGAGATGCCACTTGGAGATGGTATACTACTTGACAGGTAAGTTCCGTGTTCTCAGGGTTAATCCCCATTTGTTCCACCATTTTCCAAGAAGGGGATGGTAGTTTTATATGGTATCTGTGCTTATCTATTATTTGAGATGATGAAATGATACACTATTATATATGTATGTTATGTGGTGTATTACACACAATATGGTAACCCCTGAGTGTAGTGTGGAGTTGCACAAGATGGTAATCCCTGAGTGTGGGTATAAGGTAGATGTCTTATGCTTCTTATGCGTGTAGTAGACGTGCGTAAACCATGGCGTTCTCTGGCCAGTAGACTTGTTAGCAACCATGCATGATATATATATATATATATATATATATATGTTGCTGCATCATGTGATTATGCTATTATTATTGAACTGTTATATTGAATTGTTATATTTGAACTGTTATACCAAAGTGAGCTTAGGGCGGAGGAACTCTTCGAGAACCTTTGCTTACTGAGATTTCTTTTTAGAGATCTCACCCCGTGTGGGGCACATTTTAAAGTACAGATGTCCATGAGATGGATGCTTCCCGAGGCAAGAGGCCGGAACAGAGTTGATTTATATGCATGCTTTATTTATATCATTTGGACATGATTATTGTATATGAGATATGACTATTATGCTTATGTTATGTCTGTTGTGAGCATGGGGGTTGTCCATGCCTTATTTGATATTGTTATTTCGTTGGACATGTATGTTTTGTTTACGCCATGAGATATGGACGTTGGTCATGACTACGCGATGTAGCTTCATGACTTAGTATTTATCTTGATATTGAGGCATTTCAGAATTTATTTTGTGGTTTTGCAATTACATAAGGATATAGATGGACTTTATATTGTTATGTTAATAAGGAAAAAGTAATCTGGCATCTCTAATAACTGATTTTATTTTAGCTTCCGCATTTAATTGAGTTGCGCTTAATACCGTAATATGATAACAATCCGGGTATACACAGGGCGTTACACAAAACGAAATTTGAAGTGGATAGGCGATTTTCTAAAAATGTGATGAATAATGATTTTTAGCAGATAAAATACCATTGTATAATTTTACTAAGAAACTCAGAAATAAGATTATTGTTCTAGGATTTGATATATGTTGAAAGAGGTAATTAGAATTAAGAAAAATAATTATTGCAACTATTTGGTGAATTTTGGTGGTTTTTGATATGATTAGTGTGAGTGTAGGGTGTAAGAACCTGCACCGTTAATTAAGGTATTTAACTAATTAATTATGCAAAATAGGAAATGATTCCATAATTGACCTTAATAATTATTTATGAGGCTTAGTAATCGTAATAAGTGATTAAGAATGCTGAAAGTCACTTTTCGGAAGAAAGGTGCAGATACCGGTTCTGCTAGTCGGTATAAATGCGTGCCGAAAAAGTATCCCGGAAAAGTAATGTAAGTGCATGATAATTACTAGAATGATATGTAGGACTTGTAAAACGAGTTTCAAGTCCAGATAATGAGAACTGGTGCTGGAAACCGGTACTGGCTTGAAAAAGCGCGTACCGGAAAAGTGCTCAGAAAATTATAAGAAAAATATGATAAATCTTAGAAAATTATGTAGTTTCATAATCCAAAGTTTGGGATTAAAATGCTAAGCGTAGCAATTAAAGTTAATACTGTGTGTTAATTGGGTAAGTGGCTATAAATACCCTTGTTAAGGGCACAAAGCCCTAGGTTTTCTGTTGCTACGTGAATGCTGGAGTGGCTGGTCAGTTGCTACTGTTCCATTGAGCTTTCTTCACCATTTTGGAGATCAAGTGCCAATTTTGCTTGGTTTCTTCACCTCCAAACACTTGAGCCTTGTGTGAGTGGTCATTGTGAGTGTGAAAGGAGCACCTTTTCTGAGTTGTGGTGGTTGTGGGGGCTGAGGTGTTTTCTGGTTTGGTGGCATTCTTGTTGAGGAGTGTTGTGCTTGGCTTGTGAGGCTTCAAGGAGCTTCATTTGTGAAGAAAGATCCTTGCTTGGGTGGTATTTTCGTACACCCTTGAAGTCAGCACCTTGGGAGCTGATTGTGAGCTCCAAGAGCACCTCCAACCTCTGTCTTGAGCTTTGGTAAGCCTTGTCACCTTTGGTCTTGAGTCTTTGAACTTAAAAATGAAAGCTTGATGCATGTTAAGGCTTAAAGATGATAACTTGTTGTGGGGTAATGTTGAACACACCTAGAAATGCATGTTTAGGTGTTTAAAATTGGTAAAAACCCAACCTTGGAAGGATATTTTCACGAAAATGCAGAAACTGCATTCTGTCGTGAAATATCTGGATATCGGCCCGTGGAATATCCGGATATGGGATATCCGGATATGATATCCGGATATGTGTATTCGGATATGGAGTTTTGGGATATCTGGATACTAGATATCCGGATATGGGATTTTGGATATCCGGATATTGCATATCCGGATATGTCCAGTGAGATATCCGGATAATGCATATCCGGATATGGTCCCGAGGAATATCCGGATATTCTGGGATTTCGTAGAACAGTAGCTGTGCTGTGTGTGCAGTAGGCTATTGGGGGTTTGTGGACCCTAGATTGATGAAGTTGAACTTCTGTATTTAATGGACTAAGCCAGAATCATGGGATTAAGGACTTGTGGCTTTGTTAGAAGCCTTAAGACTTGAAAACGTAATGAAAAGGCGTTGTCTTAATTTTGTATGCTTGTAGTGCATATTGTTGATGTATTGTTGGTCCATAACAGATTGTGCATCTGCTGTGTTTGGACTTTGAGCTGTGGACTCTTGGCTTTTGGAGTTAGCTTGCAAGGTAAGCTTTCGTGTCCTCGATTTAGCCATGTTGGGGTTCCACCATGTCCCATGGGGGTATGGTTTATGCATGTTGTGTACATGCTTTTGAATATTTGATATGTTGATTGAACTTTACATGTAATGGCTTTTAATATGCATGTGTTGTTTCATCTTGACGGGAAGCCTGAGTATGTAGTGCCATACAAGACGGTGTACCGGGGTGAATGCAAGTGGTACTTGCACGGTGTGTAGGTGATAGACGTATACCTGCACTGTCTCTGGCCAGTAGATTAGTATTGACACACATGACATGATTATCTGCTGCATTGCATTGTTTTTGAAATGATAAATGATGAACTGCTTTTGAACTTATATTGCACATGTAAGTGAGCTTGGGGTGGAAGATCCTTGAGGACTCAATGACTTACTGAGATTTCTAGATTAGAGATCTTACCCCACGTTTGGGGAATGCTTATTCAGGATCAGGTAGTATGGGTACTGATGCCTCAGGCGGCGGGAGGCCGGAGCTTAGCTGATTTTGTTGTTTCTGCTTATTTGTTAGCATGACTGGATTTGGATGCTGTTAATGTCTTCCGCTATTTATGATGTGTTGTTGTTGAGACTGATGTTGGGCATGTTGCCTTATTTGAGTGAGCATGGGGATTGTCCATGACACTCTCTGTTAGTACTTGTAGTTTGGAGTTGTATAAACTGTTAGATGGTCCGGTCTACGTTGTTGTAGTTCCGTGACTAGAGCCACATTTATATTATTTATGTTATGAGGTATTTCAGTTAGCTGTTTTATTGCAATTACATACAGGCGATGTTTTATTAATTGATTATTAAGCAAGTTGGTAATGTTAATGACATCATAATTGAAAAGAAAAAGTAATTCCGCATTTTAATTAAGCGCAGCTTAATACGATATTATGATAACATTACCGGATATATATACAGGGTGTTACATAGGGGCAAAAATGGAAGTATGCAAAAATTGCCCGGATCTTTAAAATAGTGTAGTGTGACATTATTAAATTATATTTGTGGACCTTGAATTGAGAAAAATATTTAAGTCTTGAATTATTGGAGAAATTCAAGAAGGATAACTTAGTAATTTTCAATTTAGATATTTTATAACTTTTTGTGAAAGTCAAATTTGGTGGCTAGCTTGTAAAATATCCTCTAAGTTATCTTTTTGGGTGTAAGACCACATAAGTTTTGTGCTCCCCACATGTCCATGGCCGAACCTCTATTGGTGATGAGCTTGGACTTGTAACTTAGTTTTTCACCGAACCAAGAAACTTACAACATGAAAAATGCTTAGAATCACTCAGGGATCAAAATCCCAAAAAGAATTCTTGAGAAAGTGTGTGAGTGAGGAGAAAACTCACCTTGACGGTGGTAGTTAAGCATGAAGAAATATCTTATTCCATTGGAATCTTGAAATTCATTCCTTAGGTCATTTTGAAGACTTTTCTGGTGAGAAAACCTTACTTTCATCTTGTTTTATGGTGATTTAATATTTAATTTTAATGATAGTTATAAGCTTTTTTTTTTTTGGAAATAATGATAGTTATAAGCTTGAATAGTGATGTTCAAGTGATTTTTGAACTTGATTGTAGTTGGAAAGATTGATAAGGATTAAAAATAATCTGTGGAAATATGTTCAAAATGTCATGACAACCTTTGGATTTTTGAAATTTTTAAAACATGAGGTGATGTGTTGTTGATTGAGTTGATTGGATAAGTTTAATGACTATGTTCCTTTGGAATTTATTGTTTGCATGGATAAATAAATGGTCGAAATCCAATAAAAATTTAAGTGATTTTGGTGATAACACTTAGATAAATTTTCAAGGTGAAAGATTGATGACTTGTGAAGGAAGTTAATGATGGATAATGTAATTGGATTGGTGGTTGTTTGAATCATAAATGATGAGGTTTAGTAAGAGTTTTAAGCATATGAATTGGTTGAAAAAAATTCTTTTGTTCCTTTGAAGTATACATTCAGCCATATTGAGGATTTTAGGGAAAGATAGTGTAAATTGTGTTGTGGCTTGATGGGTGTGTGAGTGTATTGGTGAATTGGTTGACGTGGTTTAACTATTGTAGGAATGATTGAATTCATAAAAAATCTTCCTTGGACTCTTTAATGATACCCTCGACCTTGTAAGCTTTAATTGGGGGAAATTGTGTAAAATTGCAATGTAAGGCAAATAAGGATTGTCATGATGTTGTGGAAGGTTAATGAAGTGATGGAATTGGTTAGTTGAAATTAAAACACCATGGAAGGTATTTGGCATTTTGCCTTTGGACTAGGTTTTTTTTTTTTTTTTGGGGGGGGGGGGGGGGCTATGTTAAGTTGTTATTTGTAACTTGTTTGACAATTGATGGTCATTATTTGTATGATCATTGTAGGTTGCCTTCCTTAGATCCAATTATAGAGGATTGAGCTTGAAACTTTTTACAGGTAAACTTTGGTGTGTCCTGGGCTAATCCTTATGTGTGCTCCTCCTCGCCCTTTGTGGTAGTGGTTGGAATTTGTGGACTGTAATGGTATGTGATATAATATGCTCATGCATTTTCACATCTTGTTTGATATATGTTTTGATATACATGTATTGTTGTGTGGAATATGTTTTGATATACCTGAATTATTGTTTGGTATATGTTTTGGGAGAAGGTTATATTTACAAACTTTTTCTTTACAAACTACTCTATGTCTAACCGATCATACTTAGTATAATTTGTAAAAAAAAAAATTATAAACAGATCATTCCCCTATGTTTTGATATACCTGCATCTCTGGCTAGTAGATAGATTTGAGGATACTTCCACTGGATAGGTTCCCGTAGGGAGTTTCAGTTGGTACGATGCCATAGTGCTGTCTTCGTTTTGGAAGCAGTACTAGGAATGTCTCGAGAGTTATATGATGGGTACCTTTAATTATTTCACATGGATATGTTCTTGGATTCAGGCCCAGTTGTGATTGATTCATTAATTAATTGATTGTTGTATGCTCTGTTATATTTGTATTATTACTGTTTGCACATTTGAGTGAATTGTTTGGATGGAGTGACCCTCCAAGACCCTTAGTTTTATGAGATTGTCAAATCTCACCCCGCGGGTTGGAGCCACGTTTCAAGTACCACTAGTGCTATTAGAGGAGCTTTGGGCAAGAAGCCCACTTAGTATAGATATGAACATATGGAGTATTTTGACATGACATGCTGATTTGTTGGATTTTAGGAGCATGTTGATATAGTTTATTTTTTGTATCATTGACTTAGTGCATGAACATTGGTCTTGTATATGATGTTGTGGATATGCTTAGGGTTGTTCATGCTTTTGTGTCTAAGTCATTCGGTTATTATGTTGACTATGTAATAGTTAAATTTGATAGTTGTTGTAGATATAATTGTATCATTGGAGGACATTGTGTATGTAAATATTGGATAATGTGTGTGAATTGTAAACAAAGTGAGTTGTGGATGATGTTTTAAGGCTTAAGAAATGATATAAATTAATGGATATTGTTGAGTTATAAGTGCACCAAGGAATGCTGATCCTTTGAAAGTCACCCTTTGGTCAATTAGGTACTCTTTTGATAAATGAGACACACTTGAGTAAAATGGGGAAAAGTTGTAAAAACAAAGAAGATCATGCAAAATTTTATAGAAAAATAATGTGATTTTATCCTAACTTTAAGAGACCATATATCTCTCAACAGCGGTCCAATTGAGGTGTACCATACCTTATTTTAGAGCTTAGGATGTCCCTATATTGTCACAACATTTGGTGTCAATTAGAGTTGTAGAAACTACCCAATTTTGGATTGAAGGTGGACTGTCCAGATTCGCGCTGTAGTGTACAGCTTTTGTATATGTTTTTGAAAAATCCTTATCTCTCTCCTTTTTTTTACCCAAATTAGGCTTATGATATTCAAAATTGAAGCTTGAGGTGCCTACTAGAACATATTAAAATTTGGTGAAAAAAAGAAAAGTAAAACACTGGAAGTTTGGAAAATAGTGAAGGATGTTAATGGACCCATTAGTGCAGAGTTAATAGTTTTGAGGAATTAACTTATGGCGAGCGTATCAGGAGTTATAGAACTCCAAACGAGGCGTGTGATACCTTATTAGAAAGCTAGAAGAGTATAGTTTAACATACCAAAAGGTGAAATTTTGTGGACATGTAGTTTATCTGCAGTTTTAGAAAAACTGAGTGTACCTCAAGTAGATAACATGTCAGATTGTGTATTTTTTCTTAATTGATTTATGGGAACCACTTATAAACTTTAAGTAGATGTTGTATGATGTTAAGCCATAATTTTTATGTTTCCACAATAATTTTGAGTTACAACCACATTTTGGTAAAATGTTTAATACGAGTGTTTTATAAATGCAAGCGTGGATTAAATTTTTTTTTCTTCGTATTTTTAAACGAACTGTTGTAATTGTAATTGTGTTTAATATCATAAATAATGATAATATAACCTGTCGCGAATGGGATGTTATACCTCACTTTATGATATACGACTTTTTGTTAGCATGGCAATCCCACATAAAATATATGCGGGATTAGTCCTCTATATATTTCGTGCAAAAATAACTGTATTAGTTTGGTCATATTTTTTATAAATATAAGGAAAACAACTTCTCCTTTCAAAGGAGAAGAGCCATCTTATGCAATAGACACAATTACTATAAAATGAGAGGTATAAACCCCATAAATATATTGTGTCCGATTTTATTTTATTTTAACCGCATTGATAGACTCACTTTATCGGTATATGGAGTTAGATAGCATTTAAAAAAAATGGTGGATATTCAGCATTCTCTATTGCCATTTGTCATATAGGAAAGTCCTTCCCTTTGTTGATGTCATGGACTAACTTTAAATAAACTCGTCTTACCTGTTTACATCAATGAGAAATAGAAAAAGATGAATTATTAGCATCAATGACTTTGTCACGTAGCTAGTTGGCCTACCAACATCTCCATGGTTTTTAATAAACAAGGTATTGTTATTTAGTAATATAAAACCATTAAGCTTTTAGATTGAATTGATTTTTTATATGGTATCAGAGTCTTGTTATTTAGTAATATAAAACCATTATTAGCATCAATGAATTACTCGTTATTTTTTTTACGGAATTTTTTAGCTAGGCTTAATGCATCATTCACCTTTCAAGTCCAATGGACTCTTTTGTGAGAGAACGTGTTTGTTCTGCCTCTGTGGCAGAGGTGTCTAGTTGTGTGCTAGTGTTTCTATGTTGGATATGATGCTCTCTAGATACCTATGAACTAAGTATCTTGGGGGTAGTAAATCACGACAAACTACACTAAGACTGTCTGAGATGGGGGTGTGCGCTGTGTTTGCATAAAATAGGTTAAAGAGAGATTAGTCATGCTTGTGATCTGTAACTCCTATTTATAGAGTTTACCTTAGAACTTGAATGATTGGGCCTCCCAAGAGCGTGGGCCTTAGCCTGGTCCACAACAGGTGTTAGAGAGATATATAAAATCATTAATATAGCCTCACTGAATAACTTAAACTTTTGGGTTGAATTGATTTTTTACCTACATAGTATCCCTATTTTTCCTACCACTAGAAATATCTATTATCATCATCATCCTTGTCAAGTTTTATTATTATCTCATCCCTCATCAACTTTGAATTTAACCTTAGGCTGCGTCAAGTGAGCGCTTAGGTTGGCATTGTTAAAAATGATTCTGACATGTTGTATCATATTGGTTTTTTTTTTCCAAGGAACTATTTACTAATTTTGTAGGATTGTATTTGATAGTGAATTTTCTTTGTTGGTCCCCTGTTCCGAATTTTCAAATTTAAAAAAAGAAAGAAGAAGAAGAGTTTATTATACTCAATTTAAAAAACCAAACAACCAAAGAATATGGCCATTTTATTTACTCACACAATCAATTCAAACGAATCTATGCATATGCATACCCAAAAAAATTTAAAATTACATGAGTTTTAGTTTTATTTCTTATATAACTCTGCCCCTTCAAAAATCTTTATTTTTTCTTGCCATTTTTTTTTTTGCTTGGGTGCCTCACCCTGTCCATATCTAATTCTCAAACAAAACAATACCAATAACAGATATAGAATTTCACATCTGAATGAAATAAAAGTATAAAACTAATCTCTAAATTGTTATTTCTAAGATAATAAAACCACAATCTTGAGTACATTGGTATATCAAGACCAGCAAAATCTAAAATATTTCACCACCACAAAATAAAGTACAAATTATATTTCTCTGCCCAGCATCACATTTTCAGAACTAGACAATGAAAAGAAGAAACGGGAAAACCCAAATGAACCATAACTCCTCAACCACCAACTCCTCAATTCCATGATATTCTTAGACTTAGCAGATAACACAGGCACAGCCATTAGGATCCTGTTCAACAGTTCTGTGATAGATATGTGGATATGGCTGTCTCATCTGATTATCATAAGCTTCATAGGCCTCAACAAGACCAGCTAATTCATCCTTTGGATCTTTTTTCCTTTCCACGTTTTTCTTTTCTTCCTCCTTCTTCTTTTCTGCTGGTCCTTTTGCTGGTCCAACTGAAAAAATTTCAGCATGACACAGTTTCCTCAATTTTTCCACCACATAAACTGGATCTATGTCTCCCATTAAAGTCATTTTATGGTCCTTCATGTCCACAGAAATTGACTCAACACCTGAAAAAATTCCCCAAATCATTCAATATTTAATAACGTACATTCTTTTCCTTTTCCCCCCTTGATTTCCTAAGCATCAAAAAGCATATAATTTATAAAAGAACGATAAGTAGATGTTGAAATTCCATACCTGAGAGGCCAGAAACTTCCTTCATGGCTTTTTTCTTCATTCTGTCATCATATAGTTCCACCTTTAGGACTACTTTCTGTCACAAATAAAATCGCATAGCTTTTAGACCCCTATAATTTTAACCATTTCTAAGCAAGAAATTTCCTAAACCAATGTTCACTTTAATATTAAAAGGAAAAAAGAGAGAGATTAAAAGCAAGCCTATGTTGTAATTTGGAGGCATCTCAAACTCTGAGTATCAAAGAGTACTCAACGAAAAATTAAAATAAGATGATAGTTGGTAAGTCAATCATGGAAACAGAAAAAAACTCATAAATTTTCAGAAATGGCTTGAATGAATTTATATGGTTCAAAGAAAACTTGAGAGAGGATACAAATTGTTACCTTCATGTTGATTAGAAGATGGGTAAGGTTGCAAAGGAAAGCTAAAAGAAGGAAGCTCTCCCTTCAAGGTATTTGTAAAAATGAAAGAAATGGTAAAATAGAGACAGATTTCAAGGCCAATTTGAAGTTGTAGTCTTTGCTACTTGAGTCAATCAGTTTCTGGTCAACGACTGAGCATGATGCACTCCGTGTTAGACGACAAAACTAGATGTGAGGTCAGACTTTACCTATTATATATAATCAAATAGAATAGGCTCGAGTTTTTTAAAGAAGCCTATTTAAAAAATAAATGATAAGTTTTTTTTACATGTCGGGTCTTTAAGCTTACAGGTCGGCCTATATCATATTATTTATTTTAAATTAAATAAAATAATATTATTCATAGTAATACCAAATAGTGATAGTTCAGTTTGTGCATGTGAGCTAAAGAGGTGGTAGAAGGACCTAGGTTTGTTCCCTCACCAATACTATCTTTGAGAGTGCCATAAGATTTGTACCAATCTCTACAATACCATCAAAATCTACATTTAGTCTTGGATGAAGAGTTATTAATGTATATTGTTCTAGCTTGAGCATTTTGCTTTTCAGGGTAAATTTGTTAATTGGATCTGATGAAATATATGTTATTTAGTTTGAGCATTTTGCTTTTGAAAGTGACTTAAATGCATATTGTGATGAGTTTTATTGTGATTCATGGTTATTTTTGGACGTTGAAATTGTGATTTTTATTTTAGCAACAAAATTTGATTATTTTGTTAAGTCGATTCATGGTTCTGCTTGTAAGTTAAAAATTAACAATCTAACGGGACAAGGCAGGCCATTTGTTTTTTTTATAAACGAGCCAAGTCAGGCTAACAGTTAAACTCGTATTAGGCTCGGGCTAGGCCAAACTAAAATTTTTGTATAGGCTTGGGTTTTTCGGGGCAAAGCTCGGCCCAGCCTAGCCCACTTTCACCCCTAGCCAAAACCCATGTTCTTAAAATCTTATTTTTTTTTATAACTTTTTCTATTTAAAGTTATTTTTATGGTAATCATAATAATTCCAGACTTGGTCTATTAATTTATATATATTAAAGGACATGATCATTTGACATCGGTGTCACATTAAAAAATTTGACACCAAATTTTAATTATTGATTTTCATCAATCTGACAGTTATAATTTATTATTAATTAATAATTAATTAATAAATATGATCCAATAAATTATAATCATTAGATTTGGTGTCAAAAATTTTAGTTTGTTATTGTTGTGAAAGTATCCTTCCACATATACTAATATTATTACTGTAGACTTATTTAAAAGATTTGATCTAATAATTACAAAATTAAATCAATCTATTTATAAAAAACTTAATCAAACTTAAACCATTCCCATTCTGGATATTTGAACTGCATACATTAATCACGTTCCTTAGTGTTTTGGTATCTGTAACACCCCGTAGTACTCCGGTTGTTAACAACAATGATATTATAGCGTACACAGCGGAAGATTTTATTTAAAGATTAATAAAACGTCTCGTAAAAATACGAATAAACTTTTTCCAAAATATTTTCTGAAAACATTTCTAAAAACGTTCACATGAAATTCTGCGAAAGCGTATATCTAAACATACAACTGCTAATTAATCCCATTAGCCAGTATTGGTGGCTATTGACTATCCGGATATGACAACAAGTGTCATTCCTGCCAGAGTCCCACGGACAACATAACAAATGTTTAACAGATAACTAGGAGATAAGAATCTAACACACAATTACACCTGGTAGACATAGTTATATAACAGACAGCTTGCAAGTCTCACATGGATCCCCATCTAGGGTCAGTACATACATAATGGCTCTCTGCTCAAATTAATAAATCCATACACCATGTCTATATGTCCTCGTCATATGCATCTAACATAACTTGTAACAATTACAAACATAATCTAGAAGCTCAATTAATAACAATCCTGAGCATTATTACATACAGGACATAGTCTCAAAATAAACTAACTAGGCATGTCAAAATACTACACATGCCACATAACAACATAAAATAAACAGCAACCATAATCCACTAATCCGTAGCTGGGCCCTTGCCCTTAGACTGCACACTGCTACCATGGGTACCTGAAATGATTTCCCCAAAAAAGAGTGAGATAACAACATCTTAGTAAGCTCAAGGTTCTTAGAGGACCCTCTAATCCCCTGAGTCCACTTCCTTCATGACAAGTCAGATATAAAGCATATAATACATGCATGCAACATAAACATAGCATCATCATATCATCCTTGTGTAACCCCAGGGTCAAACCTATAGAAGGTTACACATGTGTGACTCTAGGGTCAAGCCATAGACAGTCAACACAACCTCAGTATGAAATAGCTCCCAGAGTCAAGTCATAGGCAGCCTACATACCATGATCACTGGCCAAGATTCTCATAACATATATCATCAGTGCATCATCATAACATTTATATGAATGTGAATGAATGCACATATACGTTATGGTTTTCCTATAACTGTACACGCTTCTGTTTTCTAGTCACTGTGTGCAACCCACTTGTTATAAAATTCTCATCTTTTAGTATATTAATCTAGACTCAATTACCTTATCAACAAGGTATCACATGCCTCATTTGGAGTTTTCTAGCTCCGGTTATCACCGTTTGAAGTTGGACAAGCAAAACTGTCTGCCAACCCCAAACATCCCTCACCATTTCTGAGATTCTGGAAAATAGAATAAACCAATTTCTCTCAAATTTTTATACATAAAAATAGACACCTTAATATTTAATTTGATATATCATGAGCCTACTTTTAGTAAGAAATGAGGGAGAAAAAATTCGTGGAAGATGCAGCCACGTACAGCCCCTGCAGCCCCTGCACATGGCCTCCCTGGGCAGTCTCCACTCAATCGGACCTACAGAATTCTACACATCTTCAAATAGTACCAAATTTTGACACCATATAGATGACATCTCAAGCTTAAAAATGATGTTTGGCACATCCCTATTGGACCTCTGTGGAGGGAGATATGATCTCCCAAAGTTAGCCTAAAAACTGGTCATTTAACCCCAAGTGTGTTTAATTAGCATATCCTAATTATCTTTGGTTAGGAACTCTAAGTCACTTTAATTTTAGGATTTTTCTATTATTAGGTCACTTATACATTCTCACATAGTCACATTAGGTCTTAGTTCATTAGGTTCACTAATTACATAATTAGTGCTTCTAAACCCTCATTAGGTCCATTTTAGGGTTTTTGTAGTTAATTAATCCATTATGCATGATCCACCTCACTTTGACCCTTGATTAGTATCCTAATTAGGTCTTGAACCAATTTTTACATACTAACCCTAATTGATCCCTAATTGGCTGAATTGTTTAGGTGCTATAAACAAGGTTTTTAGCTTGTCTACTTCACCATTTCTTTAATTAATTAAGTCCTACACTTAATTAGTCCACTAATTCACTGTTTAATTAAATTCTAAACATAAAATCCTAATTATACTCATTAGGGCAGATTTGACATGATAGTGTCATTAGGGTTTAAATTCTATCCTTAAGCAAGATTAGTGTTCTTAAGCTTAAAGGTTGCATTTTTAACATTATCATTGGTTCAACTCATGATTCTCCACACTTTCCAGCATCAAGAACTCATTTTTATCAAATTACAACATCAATCCCATAAAGAACCCATGTTGGCCAAATCATATAGGTGGGTGTGGGAGAGTTTTTTGTCACCATTTTTCCAAGTAACCATGCTTACTTCTTCAAATTAGCTCCAAGGCTTCAAGCTTCCACTTTTCTCAAACATAGATGCATCCTTTCCACCAAGAACACACCTTTAACAAAGACTCAAAGTTAGAAATCAAGAACACAACTCAAAGGTGGGATTTTTCAAGAAAAAGATTCAAGAGACTTACACTAAAACTCAAGGAAACAAGCACCAAGGAGTGTTCCTCCAAGAGAACTCAAAACAACATCTCCATGGCATGAAAATGCTCCAAAACTGCTGTTGTTTGGGGAGGGATTCACCACGAAAATTTGGCTTTCAAGAACAAAAACGATATGTTCTTGAAGAGGAGGATGAGAGGAACAAGTTTTGTGAAGGAAGTTTGGTAATTTGATAAAGTTTTCATTGTGGAATCTTAGAGAGAAGGTGGAGAAAATTTGAAAACTCAAACTTAAAGAGAGGGGCTGCTGCTAGGGTGCTGATCAGAAATGAGGGGAAGGGTCCTTTATGTTTTTACGATTTATTCCATGTCATTAAGTGGCTTTCTGTCATTTAGTGACACCCGGTGTAATTTTTCTTTGAACTGTTATCAAATTTTTACCTGAAAATATCCAAGACTCTAACTTTAAGTAATTAATATTAATTTTGTCTAATTATCATGTTCATAACTTAAAAATTTGATTAGTAGATCACAGATTCACTTATAGCTGTTTAATTGCATTGTAGTATTTACCGGTGTTCTTAACTGTACCCATATTTCATAATCTTCTTAAGTTTAAGATTATTGGTCAAATTATGACTTGTTAGGCATATATTGGTATTTCTTTTCATTTTCTTATCTTTTTCCCGTTCTGGGATTCTACCGGCAGCTTCTATAGTAGTACAAAATACCCGGCAGAAGTGACTTTTTCAAAATACCCCAATATGGGTATCAAACTTCTTCAAAATAGCTCTCTAACTCTAATTTGCTAACTTGTAGTTATTCTACTGACTGTTACTGCGTCAGCATTCAAAAATAACAGATGAAAATCCACCTGTGTAAAGTACCATAAATATGGATATCAAAATTCTTAGAATTTCATCCTTATTCCATTTATGACTCTAAGGTCTTCCTAATGATCCTCTAATTTCGAAATTATGAAATTAAGGTTATTATAATATCACTACATGCTACAAAAATTATCACTAATGACTTCAAGAATGATGTGTCATAACATATCACAACTCCTGCACTTAAAGTTCATGTATCATTATATACTAAATTAAAATATATTCTTTTGAAAAAATAAACTTTATTTTTATATTTCAAAAAGTAACGCAAGACATTTTTAATTTTTTTATCAATTTTAAATTTCAATTGTTATAAATTAATTATATATTTTTAATTGCT